ATAAAAAGATGATATGAAACAAAATTAGCTGATTTGAAAAAGAAGCTAAAAGAACACGAAACAGGAATACAGGAACTAAAGGAACAACACAAAACACAATTAGAGGAGCAAATGGATCAATATGAAACACAATTAGAGGAGCAATTAAATCAATACCAAGAACAATTAGAAGAGGAAAGAGCTTACAAAACAAAATTAGAGGAGCAAATTGAAAGTATGGGCAAAAATATTCAATCATTGTCGTCTAAACTAGCTAATTATGAATTTGATAGTTTGGTAAAGCCAAACAAAAGATGTTCCTGTGATTGTTCAATATGTAAGGGATGTCAAAAACCTGTTTTTTAATTCTTGACAATCTTCTATCCAATAAATACATTTCTCGTATTGATTAATCTTGTTTTATTCTCAATACTATTTAACAGAGGTTCTTTCGTGTTGTCACAATTTTTTCTGAGGAAACCTTTTCAGATGTTTCATTTCAAGGTCGAAATTGATTATTGGTCTTTGTTTTTTTCCAAAAAAATGTTCATTCCGATTCCTTCATGGAGTGATGATCATCACGTGGTGAATAATCCTCCGATAAATGATGATCAATCCAGTGATGATCATGAAACGTCTACAAACAATTTAAATCATGTAAAATTTCCATCATATGATTATAGTTACCTTATTGAAAAACAAAAATTGGAGAATACATTTAATACTGCATTTATTGGTGGTAATGATCAAACAGAGTTTAAGAAGTATGATAAATGTATTAGTAATTTTAAATTGGATTCAGTGTCATCTCACTATTGCGAGAATAGTAAACCATACATATCAAATAACAAATACTTGAATGAACTCTATCATATTTATATTAATGATGAAAAAAAAATTGAATTGAATAATATTAATCATTTTTACAATAATACTTGGAAGAATGTTAATTTGGAAAATGGGTGTATTCATTCTATTGAAAATCATTTAAGATCAGTTACTGTTTATGGAAAAAATACTAATTTTTTTGTTTTAAATACATTTGATAGATTTAAGGAGATGGATATTTAAAACTAACAATGATTTAAAAACGGTATTTCCATTTTTTAAATCAAAAAAGGACTTCTCTGATTTGGAGGTGCACAACATTTTGGGTCTGATTGCCAAATCAAGAAAAAGAAGAACACTACTAGATAACTTATTACCATCATGTATAGAAATAGTTGGAGATAGTGTAAATTCTATTTGTTTTCTATTACAAGATTATACACTTTATATATCAAATGAAGTTAATCAAAAGCATAAGAAAATTTATTCTGTAAATTTCTTAAAATTAAATTTAATAGATATTGGAATTCCATTAAAAGAATTAAGTTCAACCTCATTCCAAGATAGAAATTTAATTATTAAAAATAGAGATGGAAACATATTGTTTGGAATTGAAAAAATACCCAAATTAACACATTCCTTAATTTCACATTGCAAATTATTATTTGAAAAATTGAAATTGAATATTTTAACTGATATTGACATTATTTTATGTTAATTATTTTACAACTAACTAGAAATTTTTGATTTGTTGATAGAGGGAAGAGACAGGGAAAATACAGCACGCATGGTACCTTCTGTAAATCACAACAATTAAAATACAAAAAATTGTGTAAATAATTATAATATTACAAACATGATGCGCTTGCAAAAGTTAAAAAAAATGGGAAAACGAAAACATTCAAAAATTTCAAAGGAAAAGAAAAATATTCATCAAAGGGAGGAAAAGTCTGCACCAGGAGTTGTTATGACTAATTTGCCAGATGGAGCATCATTACAAATTTCTACAAAAAAGAAAAAGATGTCTCATGCTTCTTCTACTACTCCGAAGAATGATCAAATTGGATTGGAAATGATTGAAAAATGGCAGCAAATTTTGAGTTTGCAAGATACACTCACCCTGATTCTGGGTTACATTCCCGAATATTTATTGGAGAGAACAATGAGATTTGTTAATAGGGATTTTTATCTTGCATCCTCTGTTGCTTGGAGAGAGAATATTCGAAGTTTGAAAATTCATGCATCATCACTCAAGGAAATAGAGATTGGTATTAAAAGATGGGAAAAACTCAAGAATTTGAAAGATGTAAAGATTTCGTTTACTGATTTTGATATATGCTATGAGTTTGATGTTTGTTGCTTGAGTCATTTGGGATTTGAAAAAATTGGAGTTGTTAATACCACATCAATATTTTCCAAATCTCTTGTTGACACTAAATGGGTTGAAACTTTGAGATATTTACAAATTGATATTCATCAACAATATTTTACTGCCTTGTTTGACTTGAATTTACACACTTTGGTTGTACAATTTCTTGAATTGGATGATAGTGAATTAATTATTGGAAAGGATGATAAGCCTTTATTTAAAAGTTTAACCCATCTCGATTACTCGAGTATAGCATTCAATAACATGGATGAATTTTTGAATAGACTTGTTAACCTTAAAAAATTGAGAAATGGTGATGATGACATGAGTATTGAGAATATCAAATTACCTAATTTGAAACACTATAATTGTATGCATGAATTAATGGGGATAGAAGAGGTATTTCCAAAGTTAGAATCTCTAAAATCATATTCTAGTTTTTCAACAGCTAACGTGACAGGAGCAATCTCCCTAAAAACTTTAAAATCGGTAACCCTTAGTTTAGAATCAAAAACGATTAGCTCTATTCCAGATGCACTGTTTAATTTACCACTCCTTGAAAAGTTGTCATTGCTTGTCTACTGCTCCAGTCTAACAAAATGTTCAAAAATTAACCCAAAACCATTGGATAATTTGAAAAAGGTAAAGCTTGTATTTTTTGAATACGAGAACGGTGAGCTTCCAATATCATTCTTTCATTTCAGAAAATGTAGCAATATTGAAAAAATTAGATTTGAAGAGGAAAGTCAAAAGGTATTAGTGGATATGAATGATTTTTCAAATTTTCCATTATTGAAAAGTCTAGCAGTAACAGCTGGATCTGCTTCTAACTGGAATAGTCCTATTTGCACTCTGGAATCATTGGCAATTAATGTAAAAAAACAATGCTCAGTTACACTCACAGGACTAGACAAACTGAAGCGTTTGGAATATGTATCACAAAATATGAATAGTCTGGTTCAATATCTAAATGATAACTCTAATGATTGTATTAGAGATTTGAATATTTCTGGAAAGGATATTTCAAAGTTCACATCATTTCCCTGTTGTTTGGAAACCCTCACCATTACACACATGTATCTAAAAGAAATTAATGAGAGATTTGTGAACATTGTCAAGAACCAAACCAACCTTAGAAAACTAGTCATTGAGGAATCCAAATTCGACCTGGTTCCACTCTTGGAATCGCTCACTTGTCTCATCCATCAAATTAGCAAAATACAATTGAGTGGTGAATGCTATCCTATACCATACTCTGAATCCAAATATATTACCAATTTACTCAAAGTCATATCAATATATGACTCCAAGAAAATAGATCTCAAACTCAGTGGTTTTAATTATACATTCTCAAATCAATCAACTGGATATCTCATCTCTCAAATC